TTGGTGCGCGCTATTTTACGGTTTGGAGCCAATTTCAAGCCAAACACGTGAAAAGTACCCCTCATTTGAACACCCATAACTTCGTTGAAAGTGAAGCTATCGGAGAGGGGTAAGTGGGAATGAGTAGAGCTAGGTTGGCTCTTATCACCGGATTGAGCGATTTCAAAAACGTTCCGATTCCAGAGATTTTCCCGTTGTGATCATCTTTGTGATCCATCTGTGATCATTTTTGCGAACCGCGAGTCGCTACGCTTTGGACGTCCATGGCAAGCTTCATACACGACCTTTCGTAAAAAAAGAACTGTGCCGGAAGCTTGAAGATTTCTACTTTCCAGCAAGGTTTTAATTTCCTTCCTAGACCTACTATTCGAAAAAATTCCCCGTTGTGATCATTTTGTAATCACCCCCCACGACACCGAAAAATCAACCCCTCCGAGGCCAGGAAACCTCCAGTTGGCTTGAAGACTTTGGTATGCTTCTGAAACACATGTTTTCGTCAAGCATATCAGGTAATAGGCCATTGGGCGCCAATTGGCATCACATATGCAATGCGCCATGCATGGGGCTTTCACGCAGCTGTCCGCTTTGAAAGGTGTAACTTCTAGATAGGGCTTCCCAATTGCAAGCAAATATGCTCCTGCAATAAGAAAAGTCCGGGAATGTACTTTCATTTGTTTATTAATCGTCATGTCGTGAGTCCTTTCCATTGTTTATAAATTCATGGTGTCCTTGTGGGCGGTGATCGTAGATCCTATCTCATGCCTTCCTCGTAGTCGTATGTCTGATATGGTCTACACCAGCGCCAGAGTGCTGGACGTACGTAGGTACTGCGACTCCCCCCCCCCCGCTCGACAGCAAAATTTTGTAAAAAAACCAGAAATTTTTTGGGAAAAAATAGACAAAGTGGTAGGAGGTTGGAAAATTCTAGGGAAAAGGTAACATGGGGAGGGGGGGTCGTACTTGAAAGAGGAATGAGGGGGTTCTATTTTTCAGGAATGACACAACGCCAATGGCGTGCACCTGCCTCCACTGGCACGTTCCAGTATTCGCAACAAACAAGGCCGTGTGTTCAGCAGTACATAAGATACAGCATCATGAGAGGATCATGTCAAGGGTTACATCCGGTCGGGCCGTCAATACGGCTGGGGGGATGGCGGTGTTAGACCGCTTATATCCCCCTTAAACTGGCGCTTACCGCAAAAGTACAAAACAACCTGGGAATAATACACAATTTCTTTTTTTTTTATGGTGAAACAGAATATGCGCAATCTCGGGAGGGTAGCCATGTTAAAAACCGTCTAGTCATCCAGGTAGCCCCAATTTAATCCACATGGTCCAAAAATATCGACACGAAAAGTTCTTCTCGTACTGTACCTTGTCCAGTAGCGGCAGTTCTTGATATGCAGGAATCGATTTCGCCCACTCGATCATCACAAACCAATCGCGTTCATGCCAATAGTGATAATCCGATTGGGTGACGTACGTAAGCTTGGTGTAGGTGTGCTGTGGTGCCTGAACAGTCCAACGCTAGACTATGGTTTATAGCAAGTTCACTTTCAGAGTAGCTGGGAACGTAAGAAGTATCTCCGAATGAAGTACAGTTTGAGCTTCAAAGCAGAACATCCACTTAAAAGGCATAATGTGAACCCAGAAGTCCTAGACTTTCAGATTCTTGGCTTTCTTCACTGAAAGCGGGACCCGCACTTTTAGAGTTCTATGAATAGGGGCACAAATTGATATTCTTTATTCTATATGATTTGCTATAAATCTAATAATATTCCCTTCTAATTGGAACCCAGCTGATAAACAAGGTAACAGGTAGTCGTTGAGCGTGAACCGCTGTCTTTCAGTATCATTCAAATGGTTATCTTTTTATAGGATTAACATGGGAACGCCCTGTCCACAAAAACCCTGAAACGGAACCGTTTGATTACATTTCTGAGCTGAACAGTAGAACAATAAGTGGGTCTTGCAGACTTCTTTTTGTGATCTATAATTGAGAAATTGATTTTTATGACGAAGAGTTTTTTGGAAGAAACATTTACGCTATAGAAGAGAGTCGAACTCACGTGCAGTGTGCCTTTTATGTTGACATTTTCTTTAGCAAAATGGGAAAGAATGCACCAATGAGGAAACGCAGTGGGTTGAAGTTGGGCATCGCCCATCGCGTCTGTATCATTTCCTGAGAAATACGCCCCCCCCCTCCCCATGCTGACCCACCGAACTTTCTAAGATTTTCCGCAACTTGCTACCACTTTTTCCAGTTTTCCCCTGGTAAACTTCGGTTTCTCCAAGAATTTTCCGTCAAGCGGGGGAGGGGAGGGGTGTATACCCAACGTGAAACAGGAAAATTTCTCAGATTTTCCCTGACCTCCTACTAGTTTTAAAAAAAGTTTCCCGAAAAATTTCTGGTTTTCGAATTTGCTGTCAAAGCGGGGAGGGAGGTCGCCAGAATTGAACCACCATATTCAAGTATCGGAATAGTAGTTGTATAGATCTTTGGCAGTCCCTCTCCCAACAACGGCCAAATACGAGCCCCTCCCTCGCGGTCAAATACACCCCGTTGTGATCATCACAACGATGGCGTGCCCTTGGCTCGGCGGCGTCCCTGTGTTTGAAGTCGATTTCACCCGTGCGATCAGAGCGGAACTTGTTTTTGAGAAGTTTTAGAAAGCTGTGCTGATAAAAATAGGAAACAGGAAGTGTAGGAAGCTGAGAGATTACTAATGGAGTTCTATCTTTCTAATGAATGAAATATCTGATTCCAAGTTTTCGCTTACCACTTCCGAATTCAATGCCATGAAATTTTCATCAGCAAGAAGACATGGTGAGGTAACCGCTTCGATCAGATGGCTACTGGCAGTGCATCGACTGAGTCGTAACGTTTGAGCCAATCCCTCGACCCCGTGTCAGATACATCAGAAATAGCGTCTTCGCGCCGGCATTCGTGTTCTGGATAGTATTTTGTATATTAGGAGGAATGCCCGTGTGGTTGTAACTCATCTAACTGTAAGATCCGTTCCTCAAGTGGTCTTTTATGATTAGCAGCTAATCTGACACCATCTCTCAACGGCACACTTCGCACCTATAACAAACTGAGGTTTACCCAAGTACCTGTCTTTTGTTTTCGGGCAATGACTCTCAGGGCCCTCGTCTAAAACCGCCATCGTTGGGTAGTTAGTTGTAAGTTCCCGAAACAACTATCTAGTCCCTCATGCGTCAGGCAATGGGGGAAATAGTACCCGCTTCTCACCTACTTTAATTTATCACGGATAAGCGATTAACATGCGGCTGGATCACTGCGTTGGGCTGTGTACTTCCTTTGTTTCGGATACTTGTTTACATCATGTTTGAAAGGACGCTCCAGTGAAGACGTGAGTGGCTCTCGTGAGAGACAAAACAGCTTGATCGTGGTGACGCGCTGGATTTTATCATCAAATGCTTTCGACTCAACCTTATTTTACATCCTCTTGAGTGGCCTTGGGAGATGACCGAACCGAAGTGAAGATGTGCTGACTGGAATCTCACCTATGCTCATCTGACTGAACTATTGAGGGCTTACCACTTGGCAGGAAGAAGGGCAATGGGATGCGATCTTTCAGAATAAAGCTGTAAGCTGGAAATCAATGTAGCTCCACAGGCCACTCATTGAAAACTATGGAAACGGAGCTGTTAGGGGCGCTTGAAGGCCAGTGCTCCCCTTTGTGGAGGGTTTTCATGAAGAAATGTGATCACTGGACTGGAGGTCATCCTTCGCGTTCGGGACTGAATCTGACATGCGTATCGGTTATCTACGTAGTTCCAGGAGGCGTCAATCGGAAACTTTTGTTTCAGACCAGGAATCGTAACCACTTCTGCTCGGCTTTCCTGAAGAACGAGTAACTCTTACCTCGTGAAATACCCCTGATCGGGGACGATTAGCCGACACATAGTCTCGCTTCATTTGCGTTTTCTTCTCGTTCATTGCCCAACCGCGAAGACGTTTTTTAAAGGCGAAGTTAGTTTCTTATTGCATGGCCATATGCAGTTCTTTGTACAGGGTAGACTACTATTCAATCATCTATTCTCTTTCTGGTGGAGGCAAGAACAAGGTCTCCTGAATGAGGCGAGCTGAGCTGTCGATTCGGCCAACGAAATGATAAATGGCGGATAACTGCATTCTCCAGCAAATTATTTGACCATGACAAATGTTGAACTTAGTTCTGCCGCTTGCTTTTTGCCTCTTGGAAGTGGCCGCAACTTTCGACGGAGAACTGGATTTTCTACTACTTAGGAACTTGATGAAGTGTGTGTGGCATGACCGATGAAACGGTCATGCGTGTCCAAGTGATGGAACCACCTCTGTTACTTGTTTGCCAGCTTACCTACTTAGGGGGGTCCTAATTTTCATTCTTAATCCTAGGGGCATCTGTGGTTATCTGGGCTGAGTTATGGTAATCAGTAGTCATTTCAATGCCTTGCTCCTCAGGACAGAACTACTACGGTTTACCTTCCGAGATCCTCAGCTTCTGTGGCCTACCTCAAGCTTGCGACTTTCTACGCAGCGTCTCAGACTACTCGCGCTGACGCAACGCACACATGACGCGCCCCTTGCCAGTAAGAGGCTCCAAAGATATAGACGGGAACGCCCGCGCGGGCTCGCTAATATCCATACACTCCTCTTCAGGGTTTGAAGCAGAGTGTAGGAATAGGAAAATACCAAGTGTGTGTGTTAAGGCAAGCTCTGACACCTCCTTATCAACCCTATACCCTTTCCCAAAACACAGGCTGCCGCACGATCAGATACCCGTCTCCTCTATAGCTTCTAGGCACGCACTGCATGGTCTAGCGCGTATAGCGCGCTCGACGCGTCGTGCTCGCCGGAAGTCTGAAATGCTGCAGATCGGTGAGATCTTCGGAGGCCAGGTGAAGTATAGATACCGTTGTAAGAGCGCGGGTGTCTTCCTCAGCTCTTTTATCCAATCTTCTCTACTAACCAGGGAAGAGTTAAACCTCTGCACTCATTTTCCAAGCATATAATAGAAACTTACCATGACGCTACTTTTCGGCGAACATTCTTCGGAACTTTCAACTCTTTTAACGGTTGGATATCGCCGCGTCCGTTTCGTGTAGCCAATCGGATCACGATTTTGTTGAATGGCTAAAAAAGAACGATGTCGTCTGAATTCAAATAAAAATCCTGTTTCCTAGAAAAATCTCTCCTTGATCTTCTGAGCTTTACTCTTGGCAAGCAGGATGGGTTCTATCCCCTTGCCTATCATAATCGGAAAGCCCTTTGGTCAAAGCATCCTAAACGGTAGAAATACCTCCATTCATCACAAGAATATCGTGTCGAACTCTTTTTGCACTATTACTTTGTTTTAGAAGAGATATGTTTAAGACAGGGTTGAAACTCAGAATTTTCTGTGGACATTATAGCTAATAGAAAGTAGGGTTCTTATGATCAGATGATGAATGAGGAGGCTTTCCGTTCCTGTTGCTAAAGGCATGTGTCCCTGGTGGTGTAATGGCGGCACATTTCCGTCGAAGGCTTGGGATTTGGGTCCGATTCCCATCCAAGGCTGAGAGTTTTGCCTGTAACTCGGTGTTGTAGCGATTACTTCCCCGACGACCTGCAGTGATAAGCAGGAGTCATCGTGACGAAAAATAATCGGAGCAGTTTCGGGCAACGGGGAGGGCATTTCGGACTCTCGCTGCTTCTCATTGTTGCGTCAAGCTATCAAGTAGAGATTCGTGAAATCTTGTGAAGCCATGAAGAGGTACCAGTCAGAGTTTGTGAAAAACTGCTCGCCAGCTCTTGTAAGGAGTACCTGTCGACCCTTGTAAAACAATAAACACAACTATGAGAAGTAGCGAAAGTGCCAAATGTCCCTACTCCTCCCCGAACTGCGTCGAAAAATTTGTCAGTAGTAGTTTGTCAGGAAAACCCAAAGAACCCTCAAACAATTGAAAAAAATCCTCATAGAACTCACCATTTCTATCCATCCCAACCTGAAGACATTTTTGGAAACGGCAGTGTCGGCAAGCACATCGAATGCCTTTGAAAATTCAAAGTCAACATTGGAATCGCATTGAAAATTGATTTTTGAAGTCCTAGTAAGATTCTGCAGGCAATTAGATTTTGGGATGAATTTCAAAAGGTTGGAAAGAAACGTGAATGATGAAGGGATTCAGAGGTTTCCTACTTCTCTTCCGTAATATGGCTCACCGCATATATTTATGGGGTGTTGTTGAACACAAGAATAACCTACTTTCATGGCAAAATCCCAAATAAAGAAGCAGCTTTATTTCATGATGTATGCTCCACAATCATCAATGACCATTGTCCATCGAGCGCGCAAAAGTAGAAAAGGAAAAAGAAAAAAAGAGACTGCCACGAAAGTTTCATTCCTATTTCAACGAGAATCTAGGATTCTTCTTTCCAGAATTCTAAAATATGCGAATCCAGCGAGCCTTTGCCAGTCAATCTTTTTCCCTGCTCTGGAGAGTTTTGATAGCATGACAGAATGAGAGAACCGGAGAAAACAATATATTACGAATTCTGCATTGCTGGACTAAATGCAGAATTGATTCTTCTCCAGATTTCAAAGATTTTGAAGATAAAGATGATAACAAGGCGTGCAATCTTCGCCGCAATCGTAACAGAAAATGAGTCAGCAAAAACTGGCATGATGCAAATATTTGTAAACAGCAATAATTTAATTTATTTAATTTAAGGTTTTTCCAAATATAGACCTTGGCTTTACAAATTGCCTTCTTAGAATGCCTCACAATTAGAGTTACAATTTACGCTAATCTTAAGGCCCCCCAAACTACTGTCTTTCTCACTGGTGCCCTCCCACTTCTACGATGGACCGCTGAGCAATGCGATCCATACGATTCCGCCCGTATAATCAATGTGAGATTTACTTTTAACCCGTCGTAGTCGGTAATGTTCCCGTATCACCATTTTCCCTAATGTTGATTCTAGCGGCTGGATTTAGGGTTCCATTAAAGGTGGATCAACACACGTCCAGTCGTTACCACTGAAGACAGTCGGCGTTTCAGCAGGGCGTGGGTCCTATTTTTCAGTGGAAATTGCTGAGGCGAAAATTACTGAGCAGAAGTAAATACAAACAAAACTACCAATGAACGAAACAGAGGTGTCAGAAGTGTAGTTTTCAGTTTAACTGGCTATGTTAAAAAACTAGTAAAATGAGGAGTGAACGTTCAACTTTTTCCTCAGCCCAGTAAAACAGTAAAAAAGACAAGGGTATGCCGCTCATCGACCCCTTTGTGGGATGCGGCACACACCCTACTTCCATCAGAATTGCATTGACTTATTGGAATGCAACATGGCGTATAGAATGACTTGTGGTGCCATCCGATGTGCATATCAGTGTTTTTATCCTCCCAGATGAACCTGGTGGTAGTTTGCGGTCTCCGGAGGGTAGAAGGTTAGGTTGGTGTGGGAAGGAGCCACGCAGGATTTGAACCAGAGCTGCGCGTATGGTAAGCGGGCCACTCGTCTACAAAACCTCCACTCTCTCAATATCAAAGGCAAAAACTCACTTTTATCGACGGGACATTTTCCTTCGTATTGACACACGAAATTCTGGTTCTTCATGATTGTCCTCCGAAAAAATGTTTTGCTGAAAAGTAGTGGAGTTAAAAGGTATTCAAACGTCTGGGGAATTCTTCGAAAATTCTGGTCGTTTGGGACTGGTCGCTATTCAACAACGTTTAAAAGTGCTCTAACCCAAAGTAACATCTGAAAGACTCCGAAAATGTGTGACTGAAGAATATCGAATAGAAGTGGCTCGAAAGGGCTATGAGGCCTTGTGAAGGTACTGTCCAAAGGGACATTCCACGATAACTGGATGGACTGAGAAATGGGCGGGGAAAAAAAGGAATTCCCCGATCACCGAGTCCTCGTCATGTTCGTAATGAAAATGGTACTCGCAATTAGTATGAGTTTGGGATCGCAGATCAGCAGAAATTCGAAGAGGAAAGGCGTGACGAGCGTGGGAAGAGCGCAGTTTGTCGACGAGGGGGCATTCTGCTTTCCACAGATGTGCCGACCCATCTAGGTAGCCTTTTCTCGAGTTGACACGTTTTAGGATGGACGATCTTGCACCAGCTTCACAAGGGTTCACAAGTTTTACCAGGGTGAGATTTGTAAACCGGAACTAGGGAAGCAATGGTAGTACAAAATGCCCCCCCCCCCGTCGACAAACAGCGCCGAGGCATTTCGGTCATTCGAACCGGGACCCTAGCAATACTGATGGCGCGTCAGTTGAACTACTGGGCAATACTCTACTACTCACTTTTATCGACGACGCATTTGCACGCGGTGCCACGCGTGGAGTGTCCTGAAGTTCTACTCTCTGAGTATTCGCCCATACTGCCATTCCGGAATGGTCTTTGGAGGTCTTTGGAAAGGTTATCAGTTCCCAGAACTTTAGGAATTGGACGCGATAAACACAGAAAAATAAATAAATCAATTGCAATTGAAAGGTTAAAGTTAGCCGCAGTAACTTCCTTTAGTTCCTCCTGGAGTGGTTTTCCGCCAGCAAAACCATTTTGAAATATGACTTATCAAGTCTTTGGAATCTTTATAAATTACCTCGTGACATAGTGAGACTATAACAAATGACCCTACGACTCGGGGAAAGGGATAGTCCTTCTTTTTCTATAGCAAATAAAAAACGAACCAGCCGTTACATGATGGTACGCCGTAGTGATAACCGGTTGAAATATCTTGGCAGACAAGACACAATTCTTCAGGTTGTGACGCTGAAGAGGTACTATTGGTCATGCTGAAATTAAAACTCTAGAAATTTAGAAATGGGTCAAAAATTCACAACGACAATCGCCTATTTATGAATATCTGCGTGAAACAACCGAAAAATTAAAATTTCAATGAAAGTTCACAGGATGGAGTTAAGAACATGAGAATATTCACTACAACTCAAATCAGTACTGCTGAGGAAACGTTAGACATTGGGAGCGTAAAGAATTTGAAGAATTAGAGTAGTGATGGGAACGTAAAAATCTGATCAATTCTGTGAGAGACAAACCACCGTTTCCAGAGAACTCCTAGTCTGAGTCGCACAGACAAGAACTGTAATCCCTTTGGGCGGGGGCGAGGAGGTAAGAGGGCACTTGGGCCACTGAACGTTATGGCTTACCCAATGTGGGTTGACAGAGCGAGGACGCTTCCACAGCGCTAGATAAGTTTTAGTGTGCTTCAAGAATAACGCCGATTCATGAGCTTGAAAAGCTCGTAGAACGCCCAGACTTCTCACTCCTCTGAAGGGCCTTCGACGGATAATATTAGGAACAATTGGCGCAGGGGGGCATTTTGCCCTTTCATTGCTCCACTAGTTCCGGTTTGCATACTTTACTGATGAAACCTGTGAACTCCTGTGAAGCTGGAGCAAGCTCATCGAGCCACAATGGTGAAACCTGTCAACTCACGAAAAGGCTCTCCAGGGTCGACACGTCAATGGGAAGTAGCAAAAATGCAAAATATCCTCCCCGTCGCTGAATGGACCAAGTTTTTAACCGACCGTAAGGGTCATTAAGAAGGACATAGCTTTGCAAAATGGCGCATATACTTGAACTAAGTATAAACACTTCTAGATTATAAGCAAAAAAATTGATTGGATGGAAAAAGAAAACGCTCCAGAGAGAGCTGGTCGTCTCGCCTCTTCCTTAGACGAACCATCGTCATTTCGTCAACCCCAAGTCTCATCAGTGGTAGGGCTGACGAAACAAGAACGACATAGGAAAGGAGTTGACGAAAAGAAAAAATAAGAAAAATAGTAACGTAGACGCTCGTGCGAAATTAGTAAAGATGTTGGGCAGTAAATCACTTATCTCAGTAGGCTGGGAGTATGTTAGGTCAGGTCACGTGCGGCAAACGGCAATCTGCCCGACGCAGCCCGAACTCCACATACCCTGGCAATAACCCGGAACGTACATTACTACTTTTTTTCGCCGTTGCGTGGTATTTGTGGTGAGCGTTGCCGCACAACCAGGCCTCATGTCTAATGGTAAGGGCACGTGCGAAACGGAGGCTGGAATACCTCTTTGCGATCCTCCTTGATACTTCTCACTTGTTCGATTTTTCAACCTAGTCAATTGGTTGTGGTTTGGTTTTTCTTTGTGCCCCGTGGAGC